ACCTTGTTTTCGCAACATGATTATATTGGTAGGAAGACTTATTGGAACGCACCTAGTCCGGGGTCCATTGACTGCATGATTATTTCCAAAGTTGAACTGTAGACGTGGTACATTCCAAAAGGTTTCGCCGGCATCGTCAGTGAGTATCACCATTCTTAGCACCACACAACAACTCGTCAAAGAGACAAGTGAAGCCGATTCTTTGACCATACTTGTGTTAAATAATTGTGGTATCTTCCCTTCTGCCCCGTGTTATTCGCATTTCCGGTTGCATCCCATAATGCCTTTCCTATTACAATTTTACCGTGTTTATTTAGATAGTGTGGTGTGCTCCTTTAAGCGACATGACATCTTCACACTCCAGCTCTCGTTTTCACCCCTCCTTCATCCTTGTACAGGGAATGTTGATCAGAGTCTGCTTTATTATTATGCAGTCCTCTTCCTTAGTCTTATCTCGGTCTTTCTCTTGCTCCATGAAATTCATCTGCTCTACCCCTTGTTCATCTATTTCACTCGACTCCTTTCACCACATCTGTCCTATCGGAGCGATATTCGCCCTCACCTGCGTCTGGGTGACTAATTCGAGCTTCAAGCCTCTGAGTGTCATCATCACCCCTTTTCTACATGGACCACGTCTCTAGTATGACCGACCTACCTTCAGCCAACTAGCTCCGGTCCCCGCCGTGTCTATCTTGTTTCTATCACTAATATCAACTCTGATTTGCTATGCCCTAGTCTCTTGTGTGCCAACCCATAAACGTTGTGGTACTGCTTGCTTTGGTTAGGTTCAATGTCGAACTACAACGTTTCTGGATTGGCACACAAGAGACTAGGGCATATCAATTCATAGACTTGGTATTATGGATAGAAACAGGATATAAGCGATAGAGACTATAACTAGTTGGCTGACAGTAGGCCGGTTTTACCATAGACGTGGTCCATGTAGCAAAGGCTTGACCATGAGACTTACTCAGAGACTGTAACCTCGAATCAGTTAGCCAGGCGCAGGGGATGGATAATAACACCTTGTGAAACACAGATAGGTCGAGTGAAATACTTGAACCAGGGAGATAGCATACGGACCCTATGAGGCAAGAGGGAGACTCTGATAAGGCCTATGGAAGGAGGACTGCGTAACAATATGGCAGACTTTGATCGACATTCCCAGCACAAGGGTGAAGAGGAGTGAAAACTCTAGCGTGGAATGTGGAGGGTCCTCATAAATGCCGCTCACAAGGGTACACCACACTACATTTAAATAAGAAAGGAAAAATAGTGAAATAGTGAAACCCGGTGATACGAGGGTTATAGGAAAGGTGAATAGCCCATGACAGAAGGAGAGATACCAACGGTTTAACACACATTTGGTCAAATGATCTGCTTCACTTGTCTCTTTTGACGAGTTGTAGTGTGT